GCTTAGCTGGCATCTTACACAGTTTCTCAAATGACTCATACAAGTATATTTTATTGATAAATCTAGATATAGGGTTCCTGTCACAGAATGAGCTCCTACTGGACATGATAGAAGCTGGGAGGAAAGACCAGTAACATCAACCATTGTGAAGAAACCAAAAATAGGCCTAATTATTGAGTGGTTCTATGTACCAAGCACTGTGTTGAGGCCTTTGAATACATTATCTCCTTTAATCCTTGCAGAGAGGATAGCATCCTATGTGGTAGGTAATATTACTTCTACTCTACTAATATAGAAATGACATTTAGAAAGGCTAAATGATATGTCTAGGAGTCACAGATAATAAATGACAGCTGAGATCTAGACCCCACATTTTCCTAACTTTGAGTTTAAGCTCCTTAACAAATGAATACACTGTCAACAGCCACTACTTGTAGAAAAGCTGCAGAGAAGCCAGGGCTCATCATTCAACCCCAGGTTGATGGAGTGGTGGCTTTGACTAATGACTGTTAGAAATGGACTCTATGACAGTGTTCTGGTTCTGATGTCAGTAGATAGCTCATATTTCTGCTCTAGCAGCTGCAGGGTGATACAGAAAGGAAAGGAGGGATTGTCAACTGCTTGACAAAGCTGACCTCTATTAACCTCCTAGAAGACAAGAGTGTCTCTCAGGCCCTTTCTATTCAGACTTTTCTCTAATAATATAATTGTTATTTCCTTTAATCCACTCTTATAAAATTCAATCCTAGTCTCTGAAAGATCTCTTTTATCTTGTTGGTTTTAAATGGCTAAATGAATGACTAGAAAAATTAACTCAGCAATTCTTACTGAAATTTAAGACTATTGAATTGGCATTGAGTAATTTAAAATTCTGATGTTCTAGAATTTTTGAAAAGGACCCAGATATTTTATAGTCACCTTAGACCAAGATAATACTGATTATATTGCTTTGAACTTCTGTCTTAAATGTAGCCTTTGTCTAATTGCTTTTGCTTCTCTTATTGTCATCAAAATTCTTAACAGGACTTAAGCTACATGGTTTTGACAACATGTAGGTAACAAACTAGAAAATTTGAATATGTGCTTCTTTCAAGCGGTCCTTATGTGTGCAAGTGTCAGCCAGGCAGTAGAGCAAACAACTCTACTGTGTTATCAGGGGAGAATTAAAATGATACCACCACTTTGGGAAATAGTTTGTCACTTTCTTAAAAAGTTAAATATAATGTAATCCCCAGGTATTTACTCAGGGTAAATGAAAGCTTATACTTACATAAAGTCTTATGCAGGAATCCTCATAGAGCTTTACTCATAAAAAACTGGAAGAGTCTAAACACCTATGAAGAGGTGCTTGAATATCAAGCCTGGAAGTCTAGTCTCCTGGGTGGGGTGAGTTTCTCTTCTTTAGCATGGAATGAGCTGTAATATGTAAAGAGAATGGAAGTTGTTGCTTTATTCTTACAAACAGAAAAAAGCTGGACAAACTAGAAATTAATAATAGCATTTATCCCATGACAGATATTCTACGTGAAACTTTTTAAATCCATATATCATGTACCCATTTTTTGTTCTTTTTTTCAAACATCTTAGACCAAAACTAGTATTTTGGCCTAAGTCATGGGAATGGAAGTGGGGAAAAATTTTGTGAATAGCCCAATTGTGTGTAAAAAAAATTATATTCTGAAGAAATTACATAAGTTATATTAGGTATAAAAATCACTATCTTTATAAAACCAAATGACAAAACTTCGTTTTTTATTTGTACTTAATATGTTTAAACTGGCATGTTTTCTGTGTATTATGTAGGGCCTTTCTTTGAATACATTCAGATATTTAAACCACAAAGAAGCAAGATTGTGCCATATCATTTATGGAAAATACATGCGCACTTAAAGCCCGATAAGAAAAGCAATTTTCTGCAACCAACAGGCCATTGTCTAACAGTTTCACTATTACTGGGAAATATATTTCTGATCCTTTTTTAAAATGAAAAACGCTTTTTAGCATTTTTTACACACACATAACTGTAGGGAGTTATTTTTGTGATGTGTCTGTACACTATGTAATCTGATAATAACGTACTGAAGGTAATTGGATTTGGGCCTGAATTGGTTTTTAAGTAGGTGAGATGGTCTAACGCTATAATATTAAGATTCCGGCCCTTCCTGGTGGCAAACAGGTTAAGGACCCTCGCTGAAGGCACAACGGGTTAAAGTGCAGCAATCTCATCCACCGAAGCACGAGTTTGACACCCCTGCCAGGGAAGTGACCCACATGGTGTGGCAGACCTCTCCTGCCACAGTGTATTTCAGGCCATCTGCTATTCTGCTCCCCACTCTGTCTCTGGTGAATCCTCTCACACTCCCCGTGAAAGGTCACCCAAGAGGCTCATGGGTTCCTGGGAACCTAAGGAGGCAGGGAAGGGGGTCTTGAGACCTGACCTTGCGTTAATCTTCCACTGACACTGGAGACAGCAGCACAGAACAAGACTAAAAAGAATCTGAAACAACCAACAGCCTCCTCTCATCTTCTGCCCAGCTGCAACCAGTCCCTATCTCTTGCATACCTGACCCAACCCCAGAAAGCACACACACACACACACACACACACACACACACACACACACACACTTCTGGCGTGCTACTTCACTGGCCCTGAACATTGGGACCCCCGGTGAACCTCGCCGGGAGCGCGCCAATAGTCTCCTTTGCTGTCCACTTTAAGTGCCTGGGCTCATTTTCTTCCCCTCCTCTTTGTGCTTATCTATAATACCGCCGCATAAATAAATATTTTTTTTAAAAAAAAAACCAAAAACCCACTAATAAGATGTATTGGCAAATCACACGAAGAATCCACTAGAGGGCAGCAAAGTGCAAACCAAATTTAAATTTGCACCCCTCCCCCCACCACCACCAAGGCTGGTGTTACAGCGCAAAAGTTTGTTTTGCAAATAAATTTTCTTAAGTGCCCAAAATTAGAATTCACTCCATAATGTAAAATAATCATGCACGAAATATTTCACCTTTCTTGGAAGTAGTGGTCCTAGTCCCAGCTCTTTCACTAATTGTGATTTAGGATAAGCTAATTTATTACTCAGACCTTCTGCTATGATACATGGATTTGCAAAAGTGATTCTTAGAGTCCTTTTTAACTTAAAATCCTATGGTTTTATGATTTACAATTCTTCTTCAGTCACCTAAAAATCTTGTAAAAAATCTTGATCAGGTTTATCTATTTGATTAAGTGTGACTTGACATCAATGAAAAGTTTGTTTGGAAATAAAGATATTTCATAGAAAATTAGGTCCATGAAATTCACTACTTTCCCTTCTTGGAAAAATCTACTTAGTAAAATGACACTTCTGCTTATTTTTCATATGTAATCTAGTGACAATGGTGATTGCAATATTTTCTTTATGATTTTTTTATTATTTAAGCCATTAATGTAATTGGTTTTCAGTCAAAAATGGAAAACCACACATTGATAATTAATAGTGAAAATTTCACTCTCCATATAAATTTCCCACATAGGTGAGTTCAATACTATATTAAAATACCATCTATGTGAATTCAATATTAGTTTTACTATCAAATTCTAAAGTCATGAAGAAGTTTGTAATTTAGAAAAATGGTTGACTTGAAAGCTGAGGAAATGGTGACTTGAGTATGTGGAAGAGTAGGGCATGGAGCTCAGCTACTGTTATGTCATGCTTCATTTAGTCAGCCACTTGGAGCTTCTCATTATGGTTGATTATTACAGTCAGTGAATGAAGTCACAGTCATTCTTCACGTTTGTTCAATGGTTGTGATTGTAAATACTACTGCAATAACCCATTTTCAGCTTATCGCCAAGTTGTTACTAAAACTGAAACTCTTTCCTAAGTGGTATTTTTCATGAACACCAATGGATAAAATTGTCAACAGCTTAATGAAAACAGAAACCATTTCTGAATCCGGACTGACAATGTAGTCATATTTAACACCATGCTACATACTTGCATGTTTTTCAGCCCTCACTTAGGACACCTATTCCTCCTATGTGCACAGAAAGAAAGACTTACACTGGCAGATAGTGAATGTGAGGTGTGAAGGGAAATTATCCTTTAAAACAGAATACTCATTTTATTACTGTCAGAAACCAGAGGTAGGAGAATGTCTAAGTACACTCTTGGAGCCCTGCCCTGGTACACTGGCTTGGTTGGGGCCTTTTCTGGGACTCTGAAACTTACTTAGCTTCTTCCTAAAACAGAACTTCAGATCTAGTTCATCTCAGTTCTTGAAGTTATCAACACCCATAATACTCAGTTTCAACCAATTTGCTTTCCTATTGGAGGGTGAAGAAATATCAGGAGACCCCGTCCTTAAAGTCAACAACCTCACAAATAAGGTGTAGTCTCACAACACTAATGAGGTGAGTGCCTCAGACACTGTGGTGTTAATTAGAGAGTCACTGAGGTACTGACTGGGTGCAAGTCCTGGCTGCCTCAATCTTCTCGTGTGTAAAATGATGGCTGTAACCACTTTCATGTCTTGCTTTGAGAATTTAACAAAATGGTGCCTATAAAACTATCATTATTTTAGCTTAGAACTTTCAAATTCTATTTCTTCAGTACTTTCCCAGTAAGATGTAGCTAAGGGTATCAGAGTGAGTTGCTGCTAATAATTCACCTGGACAGGACACTTCATCTCTTTTCGTCTCCTTTTCTTACCCAGTGTTAAACATGCATCAAAATTATGTATGCTCTGAGATGGTCTGGGTGGAGGTTGTGGACTGAACTTCTAAATGGGGAGATTGGATCAAACAGATTGCCAAGACTCCCTCAATTTTCACACTTCTGTGAGTCGTTATTTCCCAATAGGATTTTTGGGGAACATATGAAATGCAGTTGGATACCCTAGAGGAAACACTACTGCAGAACACCATGCCATTTGTAGGGGGGGGGAGGGGGAGGGGACTTAACAACAATCCACACAAAATATTACATTCTTTACTGTGATATTAATTCAGGATGATCTCTGCTAACACTGACGCCAAGTAGAAGAATAAATACACGTTTATTTTGTAAGAAACAGCTGTAGGTGGGGGAGTCCCCAGCAGGACAGGGACCCTCAGGGGAGCAGCAGGGCGCCCAAGTGCAGCTCGCCCCGCTCCGGGCTGTGGCCTTTGTGCTCCGCTTTGACGCGCACGGCCAGGCGGCGCACGTCGTCCTCCGAGAGCCCGTCCAAGCAGAAGTCCTGGTCCAAGACGGCCGTGCGGCTCCGCAGGACCATGGCGCCGCGGGGCTGGCGCGCCTTGCCCGGCGGTTGCAGCACAAAGCTGACGCGGCAGCCGACCGCGCAGGGCTCGGCGCTGCCTCCGGCCGGACCCTCGGCTCGGAGCAGCCGGATGCGCAGGCGCCCGCCTGCCGGACTGTACTGCGCGGCCAGGCGCAGGGCTCCACCAGCGCGGCCCAGAGTCACGGTGCCCTCGGCCTCCAGGGGCGGGCGCCGCGGGGCTGGGGGCGGCAGCCGAGCGAGCGCGAGGGCTAGAGGTGTCGCGGGAAGGGGCGCCTGGGCTAGAGGTCCTGGTCCCCCGACCTGACGTTACCTGTGTTCCGCCGCAGGTGCACCCCTCACTCGGCCGCCCCAGCGGCGACTTGGGGAGCCGGCGATGGTCTGGACCGAGCGACTAGGGGAGCTTCTGGGTCACCGGGAGGCGTAGGGCGGA